CATCTACGTCCTGAGGACCTCACTGCCACCGTCCAAGCGTGCTTGGCCCCGGCAGATGAACCTCAGGATTAAAGGGTGGGCTCAGTTCCGCGCACACTGTGTCTCACCTAAAAAATCCAATGCGCAGGCTGGAAGGTGGAAAGACCTTCCCCGGTTCTTCGTTCGCGAAGAGACTGGCCATTATTAATACATCCTCTATTTTAATCTCACCCTGTCACCTTCTTTCTTCCCTCTCTCCTCCTTTTTTCTATTTCTTTTTATCTCTCTCTCTTTGTCTCCCATCTACCACTAAATAAAACCCATACTATTGACTTTGGCATCTGGTCTCATTTGCACCTTTATTTGGGCAGAGGCATTTCTAATAGTTTTAAAAACCGGATCATAACACATTGGAGGGAGCAAAACGTGCTGACACCCTTGGGACTGAGGACTGCGTGAGAGTGTAGGAGTCGAATCTGGTGTGTTCTTAACCATTTTGCCTCATTCCAGCCAGGACACAGTTAATGGACAGAATTAATTTCTGCAGTAGCCAGGAGGGGACATGACTAGGACCCTGAGGTTATTCTGTACCACCTTGTGTCATTTCCAAGGGTAGGGGGAAGGGAGTCTCTTCCAGGGAGAAGGCATCCCATCCCATTGGTGCTATACAGGAGCAGTCAGGTATTGTTGATTCCACGTGAATCATTTGTCTCCTTCTTGTACCCTCTGTCATTAGTATTGTTGCTGTTACTGTTCATTTTCTTATCTTGTTGCTGTTTCCAGTAAGTTGTTCACATCTCAATCTGTGAGCCTTACATTTTGTGCCTCTAATTCCTCTCAGCACGCTACAGGAGAGGAGTAGGGATAGGGGTGGGGAAGTAAGTGAGCAGCACATGGTTTCAGTGAGTGCATTAAATTGGAGAATATCATTCCTAAACCACAACACTATCTAAACACCACAGACATATATTAAAGGAAGGTTCATTTGTATCAGCTATGCACAGTGATATGGCTAAAACATAGATTTCAGTATACTAGTAAATTAAGTTTTCTTGGGAATATTTCCCGGGTCTGAGTCCAACTGGCAATTCAGTTGAAATGGTCTGTATTCATCTTGTTAAGATACTCATACTCTCCAAACTAGGCATCCAAACTGACTACTGGTAATAGTTTCTGACCTGTGTTTATGTCAATTTTGGATCTGAGCCTCTTTGGCAAAATTCTCTGTGGGAAAAAAACATAAGTGTTTAATAGGATAAATAATTGAATACCAGTGCCTTGATAAATTGCTTTGCACTGTTTAATTTACCAGCACAAGTGATAGTCTAGATATATAAAATGGACATGAAGGTAAGGAGACTTGCATAGTCTCACAGAAATGTCACTGAAATGGGTAAGTTCAAAAGAGAAACTCAAAAAGCGACTTCATTTTCTTCCTGAACTGAGCCTGCACCTGTCACTAACCACAGTTTGTTTTAGCATATTGATCCCCTATGGATTCAGCCTGCAGACCTGATCAGGTTACCCTGTGGATCCACTGTGATCTCTCTGTTGAGATCTCTCTTTTCTCCAGAAGTCAGGGTGTGGAGATGACAGCATATTCCTGGGTCTCTACCTGACCTGGAGCAGGATGTAGGTGGTCATGAGCAAAAGTCCAAAAGAGCAGAAATGTTTCCATTTGCACAGTTGATGTATAAAGTGTGATGCAAAACTTGAGCGGTGATCTAGAAAAAATTAAGAACCCTGAAAATCACAGAGTTCAAGCATGTCATTGTTTTGTAGTTTTTGTGAAATCTTTGAAATGACATTAACTGTACTTTTCCATTTTTAGGTATACGTACAAATGCTGTAGTGGTACGACTACTTTAGCACTGTGGTTTCTTTGTAGGAATAAAAAAGGTCCCAAGAATTCAGTCTTATTTTTTGGCTAATGTTGAGATGGGTAAAACAGCATTAAAAATTTAGAATATTCTGACTGCCACCAAGCCAAATCTGACTGCATTAAATTTCAGATGCTTCTGAACTCTCTAGTGATACAGCCTTTAAGCCTTTGATCATTGCTTTGATTCAAAGGATGTTAGGTGCTGCTTTTCCATGCAAATCCACTGTACTTATAAGCTTCCAAATTGGAAAAAGTCTGAGTAGGAGGAAGAAAATTTCAGAAAAATAAAATTCCTATGGCTCTTGTTGCTTGGCAACTACTGCCTTTGCCTCTGTGTTAAGAAAAATAGCATCCTTTGGAGTTCAAGTCTTAAGACTGGCTTGAACTAAAAAGAAGGAGAAATAAGAGAAATGCATATTTTAGGCTAGTTTTTTTTCAGTAATTACAAAGCCACTGTTTGCCCATGCCATCCAGCCAAAGGATTCACGACCCTTCCTGTTGGTCACAGGAAGGGATATTTGCAGTCTTTTAAATGGTGCAAAAGCATAGAAGATGTCTTGTGGTGAGACACTGAAAGAATTCAGCCCGTTCCATGCATCAAAAAAAAGATGGAAGAGTGACTTCACTGTATAAGTACATGAATGGGGGAAATGCCTTGTATAAAAGGATGTTTCTGTCTAGGAGATAAACATTAAATGAGAGCCAGTTCCTGTGCCAGATGCAGGCAGACATATTTATGTTCAAATTAAGGCTCACATTTTTAACAGTGACAGCAATTAAGCACCAAAACAAACTGTCCAGGGAGCCTTGTACTCTGTATGATGTGCCATCTTCAGGTTGAGATGGATACTGTTTGGAAAATACGCCTTAGCCAAATAGATTACACACAAGGGAAACAAGCTGAAAGGAAATGTTATGTGATACAAAGCAGATCAAGGTGGCTTTACTGTACATTTATCTTGAGAGTGAAAAAAGTGGATGGAATTTTTCTCTCATTTAGAGTGCATGGAGTGACTTTCTTGTGTAGCACCTAGGGCAGCCTGACACAATGACTTCACCTCTGAAATATGAGGAATGACACACTGAGAGTTTAGGGCCTTATATCTTATAGAATTTTACACTCAGGCAGGTAATGGAATGACTGTTGGTACAGCTCTACTAAGTTTCCAGGATAATTTAATTCCATTAGAAAATGCAATATAGCTCTGTAAAATTTATCCCCACTCTGTTTTACTCCTAACAACGCATAGCTCTTAGTTTGGGAATTACTTTAATTTTCAGCCCTATGAAAACAGTTGTTATAACCATTTATACCTGGACATCCAAAAGTATGAGGTACAGTACAGACAGAAGAGGAAGAAACTTACCTTAAAATTACTTCCTCGGCTTATCCCAGCAAATAGTGTCTCCTGAATTAGGAATGTAATTGTCCTCCATTTTCGTGGTTGGTGAGGAAGAGAAGCTGTGCTCTTAAGGTGACTGCCCAAGCTGCTCCGTAACATCATTTGTAAGCTCTCATAGAGTAGAATTTGAGCTTGACTAGGGCACAGAACAGGATCTTGATCCATAAGCAATCCAAAGCTTCAGAAAACATTCAGTATATTGACGTCTGTGGCCAGTGGCTATTGTATAATTTTCAACATAATCATCAAAAGCTGCAGCTCATATTAAAACAGGATAGTACCATTTCACACCAAAGCATGTGAAGAAAAATATGTATAAAACATGATCCTCGTGTAACTTCCATGAATACTGTATCACTGCGGTTAAGACCAGTAGTTCATGAAACACCATATAGCTTTTTGCTCACCCCACCCGCCAGTGGGATGGGGGAGCAAACTGGAAGTGTGAAAGTTCAAAAACTTGTGGGTGAACATAAAGACTTATGGATTGAGACAGAGCAAAATCTGTGCGTGCAAGCAAAGCAAAATAAGGAATTCATTTACTATTTCCCATTGTCAGGAAGATGTTCAGTGACTTCCAGGAAAGCAGGGCTTTGGCACACGTAATAGTTACTTGGAAAGACAGATGCCATTACTCTGAACATCCTCCCTTTTTCCTTCTTTCCCACAGCTTTTATTACTGAGCATGGTGTCCTATGGTATGGAAGATCCCTTGGGTCGGTTGCAGTGAGCTGTCCTGGCTGTGTCCCCTCCCAGTTCCTTGTGCACCCCCAGTCCCCTCACTGGTGGGGTTGGGTAGGGAGAGAGAAGTGTTTGGTAATAACTAAAATATCCCTGTGCTATTAATGTTTTAATCACAAATCCAAATCATGTCACTATAAAAGCTACAAAGAAAGTTAACCCTATCTCAACCAAAACCACTACGCACAACTAGACTTCTCAGGATGAAGACATAAACCACAGCTTTAGTTTTCAAAATAGCGCGTAAGACTCATGTGATGAGGTATGCTTGACAAAGTTAGATGAAAAGGAAGAGTGCAATTAATAAAGTTCTAGCAAAAAAAGGAAGCAAAAAGTTGATTCTACTAACTCTTCTTGCCCTGGGAGCAGCAGTTTTGACAGATGAGCTAGGGACTTTAAATGGGCAGTCTGTCTAATACCCATATTGTAATTATATCCATCCATTCCCTCCATCATAGGATTGAGGGTCAGTCAGTCTGGAAATTAGTTCTAAGTCACAAATAATCCCCCGGAACTCAAACAAGAAAAATTGTTGTTAATTTAGACACCTAAATTAGGTAGTACTAACCAACTATTATGACTTATTTAGAGAAAATGAGGAAACGTACTTGGAAAATATGCCAATTAGACACTTATGCAAATTTATAATAAAAACATTCTGTCTGTAATAGATTGTTTCTTAGTTCCAAGGCTATTGCTCAAGGATGATTTCATTGTTTTAGCTAAATCACATATATTTCATTTTGGTCCTTGCAAATCTGAATTAGATTTAGCAAGAATTGCACCTGGTGTTCACAACAAAATACCAAAGGAGTTGACAAACACTGCATATTTAAAATGCCTAGCAAGTTTGTTTTATCAGTAAAGTGCTAGGCCATGAAAGTTCATTTCACTTCATGAATGTGTGCTGGGTGGCTGCAGGCAGCCAGGGCACCTGACCAAAGTCAACCTGCAGAAAAGAAGGCAATAGAAGCAACTGGTGGAAATGATGGCAGTCCATTTGTCTGGTGATGAGCATTTTGCATCTCCAGGTATGACCAAAAAATGCATTAGTCCTTCCACAACTGGGATGAATCAGTATTGGGACTGAAATCATTATGAGACGGGAACTTAAGATGACATCCAGCCCAAATATGCTCTCAAGCCTGAAGCAACAATGAGGGAGTAGTAGGATTTATGTTCTAGTTGGAGGGAGAGTAGAGTATAAGTATTACCCTGGTCCAAGAAGCACTCTAAACACTTTACTAAAGAAATGTACTTTCTTACTTGCCTTGTGTCTCAGTAATATTTAATTACATTATGTAAAGCAGAACAGCTTTGACATGATAACTAAGGAGATTTTTCCTAATTTACACTGAACTGGGTGATTAGACTAATT